CACACACACACACACACACACACTCCTGCCAACTCAGTGACATTCAGACTCTAACAGCGACCCCCGCTCAGAGTAAACTCAGTCAGCGACTCCTCCGGCAGCAGCACAGCGTCTCTCCCTCTCTCTCCCCTCTCGCGGTGCACCCCCCTGACAGAGTCAGTTGCTATGGTTACGGGCATCGGTGTCGTCAGGTCATTTTGTCAGGGCTTAACCCTGAGTGTCTGGAGTGTGGGCCCAAAAATAATTCATCACTGTCAGCTAATGTGGAGCTCGACGAAAACGTAATGTGTTTAAATGTGAGCTCGTCCTTGTAATATAACTGTGTGTGTGTGTCGGAGTGTGTGTGTGTGTGTGTGTGTTTCTGCCCTGAGTGATGACACACACATATTTTTTTACATCACAGCAGTTTTTGAGGTACACGTTTCAATTCTTCAATGATAAAGACATTTACTATGAATGTAAATAAGTGCATAAAAAAATCAGAGCAGAGCTTGTTAATTAAAAAATCCAGGGGGAGGGTTCCTCTGACCCTCCTACAGACGTCCAGGTTAAGAGTTTATGTCATATTTACTTGTGTTGCTCTGCCGGTCTGAATCTCGGCAGCGATGCAGAAAACAGCTTTTCGATTCCCACTGACCTGCTAAATATGTTTGCTGTCGATGACTTCACCGTGTTGTTTCCAGATCAATGAAGATTCAGACAGAAATACAAGCTAACACGACGTATGAAGAGAGAGGAAGCTTCTAATTGTTTAATCAGCCTGATCAAAACACAATTATTGTGTTATTGCTCACAGATTGTTGTCTGCTGCTGGGTCTGCTGCACACACACACACACACACACAGGCAGGTTGGTTTTAAGAACACAGGTGAGACACTTCCTCTGTACGAGCAGGCGGCCACGTTGACTGAGAATAAGAGAGGGGGACAGTTAACACAGGTGGATAATGATAATAATAATAACTTTATTTGTAGAGCTTAAAGTGCTTATTGTAAAGTAACTGGTAATTAAATCAATTGGCCACTTTATTAGGTACACCTTGCTGGTACCAGGTTGGACCCCCTTTTTAATTCTTGGTGTCACAGATTCAACAAGGTGCTGGAAACATTCCTCAGAGATGTTGGTCCATATTGACATGATGACATCACACAGTTGATCCATGATGAGAATCTCCCGTTCCAGCACATCCCAAAGGTGCTCTATTGGACTGAGATCTGGTGACTGTGGAGGCCATTGGAGTACAGTGAAGTCATTGTCATGTTTGAGATGATTTGAGCTTTGTGACATGGTGCGTTATCCTGCTGGAAGTAGCCATCAGAAGATGGGTACACTGTGGTCATAAAGGGATGGACACGCTCAGCAACAATACTCAGGTAGGCTGTGGTGTTTAAACCATGCTCAGTTGGTACTAAGAAAATCTCCCCCACACCATTACACCACCAGCAGCAGCCTGAAGCGTTGATACAAGGCAGGATGGATCCATGCTTCCATCTGAATGTGGTTTTTCCAATCTTCTATTGTCCAGTTTTGGTGAATTGTAGCCTCAGTTTCCTGTTGTTAGCTGACAGGAGTGGCACCTGGTGTGGTCTTCTGCTGCTGTAGCCCATCTGCTTCAAGGTTGGACAAGGTGTTGTTGCTTCAGAGATGCTCTTCTGCACACCTTGGTTGGAACCAGTGCTTATTTGACTTCCTGTTGCCTTTCTATCATCTTGAACCAGTCTGGCCATTCTCCTCTGACCTCTGGCATCAACAAGGCATTTTGGCTCACTGGATATTTTCTCTTTTTGGGACCATCCTCTGTAAACCCTAGAGATGGTTGTGCTGAAAATCCCAGTAAATACTCAGACCAGCCCGTCTGGCACCAACAACCATGCCACGTTCAAAGTCACTTCAATCACCTTTCTTCATCATTCTGATGCTCCGTTTGATCAGCATAATTAGCAATTTGTAATGAGCATTTGAACAGGTGTACCTAATAAAGTGGCCAGTAAGTGTATATCGTATTGGTCAAATAAACATAATAGAGTAAAAAAGTATAGAGAAAATTCAAATCCTCAAGTACAGTGCAAGTGACTTGGAACACTTGGTCACTGAGCTCCACTGGGATCAGACGGACCCAGCAGAGACTCAACTTTCTCAGGACATTAAAACGAGCGTCACGTTCTCCAAACATTCTCACTACACTCTACAGAGCCACAGTTGAGAGTCTGCTGACATGCTGCATCACCACCTGGTCCTCCAGCTGTTATTTTGCAGACACAGAGGCCTTACAGAGGGGAGTCAGGGGAGCCGAGGAGCTCACTGGAGTCCCCCTACGCTCTGTGCAGGACCTGTTCAGAGTCGACGTCTTCAGAAGGAGCTGAACACTGTCAAAGATCCGTCACGCCCCCTCCACAAACTCTTTGATCCTCTGCCATCAGACAAACAGTGCAGGAGGACCACAGTACTGATAAACAGCTTCCTCCCTCAGACTGTCAGGCTGCTGAATCCACCTGACTCTGCTGCTGAGATTTGATTTGCACTTTGTCCCCATTATCTGTCCTGGACACTTAATTTAATTAGTACACGTCACATGGCACATTTTATCTTTACACCTGTACCAGTACTTTTTAATGATGTTATTTTTTTGCATTGCTTTCACGGACTGTTTGTTTTTAGTGTTTGATTTTATCACTACTGTTTGTTTTTATAGTGGTTTGAATGCTGAAGGGTGGTTTTAGTGTTCGTGTCCTCTCATGATGATATTTATTTCTGTATTTTGCACCTGAGACTGCCGAGAAACTTTCATTCTGCTCTGCACAACAAATGTACGACGAAATGACAGTAAAGCAGAACTGAACTGAACTGAATTGAAAGCACCAGGGATGAGCGAGTACGCCATTATCTGTATCTGCACTTGGAGTTTATGCCAGAAGTGGGTTGGGCCTTCTGCAACACATCCTCACTGTGACCTCGTCACATGTCCACATATGACGTCCAAGGTACCCTGTGTGTGTTGGTTGTTGTCGTTCTGGGACGCCGTGTCAACTTCAGCCTGTTACATGCATTGTCTGTTTTCAAAATACACTTCTGTTTTCACAGGAAATGTACAGTTTGCATACAGTCTCTTTCAAAATAAAAGCACTGCAAATTGACCTTTTTTTTCCTTCAACAAACACATGGTTGGGTTTAGGAAAAAAAGAACAGGGTTTGGCTTTAGAATCTTACAGGAAGTGAACACAGCTCTCTCAGGTGAAAGTTTGTTGGACTCATCTCCCACCCCTCGCTCGCCCCATTCTGACTTTTGCTGCCTTAACTTTTGTTCTTGTCCCGCTGCGTTTCCCCTGATGCTCCCGGGTGCCGTTGAAGTATATCGGCAACCAGCCGCGTATCATGCCGACGTTTAAGGACGCCTTTTTTTGCTGGTTTCTGATGCTGCAAGTCACTGCCCAAGTGCTGGATTTTGATGTTTTCATCGTCGTCGTCATCAGAAGTTGTTATTTTGAGCCTGAAATTTAAATGGATTGACCAGAAGTTGTGATATTTACTACTTCCAAGAAAAGCATTTTCAGAACAGCCTCAGAACCGAGCTTCAGATCATGTTGTAGCACAGGAGTAACAGATTGCTACCAAAACAAGGAACAAGTTCAGATGATGACACATATCACTCGTGTGATACTCGTACATCATCTGTACCAGATACTCATTTCATCCAAGTATTTGGCTCAACCCTATGAAGTACAGTGCTTTGGTGAATACAGTTGCTGTCCATATTTTGTGAATTATGCAAGGTTATTGGACATTTTTAGATGACTGACGTGTGTGTGTGTGTGTGTGTGTGTGTGTGTGTGTGTGTGTGTGTCAGCAGGCAGACAAAGGTTCACCTACAGACACTAATGGAGAGGTCAGAGGTTGACAAGATGACGCCAAGAGAGAGAATGAGGCTGCGAAAACTGGAGGCTGCTGACGAGAAGGCAAAGCGACTCAGGTAACACACACACACACACACACACACACACCCACACACACACACACACACACACGCACTCGTCTCACTTGTACTTTGCTTGAGTATTTCCATTTTATGCATCTGCAGACTCCTCCTCTTCATCTCAGAGGTAACTGTGGTACTTTTACTGCACCACATTTGTCTGACAGCTTTAATTACTTTTCATCCCCTTCCTGTCCAGTGAAAACCATGTATCTCCAGATGTGTTGATGTTGAGTGTTTGTGATCATGAGTTGAGAAAATTCTCCCTCTTAAGCTACATAAAGTCTTTAAAACCTCTCCTGGATCAGCTGAAAAGTCGTCGTCACAAAGCTGAAAACAAGCTGTTATTCTGAATTTCTAGAGATATGTACGTACGTATGTATTTTCACAGTGGTATTGGTACTTTTACCTGAGTGAATGATCTGAATACTTCCTCCACCTCTGCTGATTTATGTGTTGAACTCTCAGTTGCCAGTTTAGTTGATTATATTTTGTGTCAGTAATCTGAATCTGAAGGGACTAAATCTGTCAGACAAATGTAGTGCAGTAAAAAGTACAATATTTACTGCTGATGTAGACGAGTAGAAGTATGATGTAGCAGAAAATTAAATACTCAGAGTAAAGTGAAAGTACTTGAGTAAATGTAATTGGTGTGTGTTCAGGAAGTGTGAGTGAAGCAACAGTGTGAAAATGGGCTGATTGACTCAGACAGACTCTTCTTCTTCGGTCCCTCTGAGCTGTCGTGTTAATTGAGTTTCGTGACGCTGAGCGGCTGTTGGACCTGTTGGTTTCTGGGTAATAAAGTGTGACTCAGCTGTGACTCATCAGAGAGTCGTCAGGTCTGAACTCTGAGCTGATTCAATCAGATGGTGATCAGATTAGAGGACGAGACGACAGCAGGACTTTATATCTGATACACGACTTCAACATGGCGCCATTCACACAACGCTGATGGTTGAAAGAGAACATGAAGCTCTGAGGGGCGAATTCTCAAAAGGTTTGAGCGACTATTTGCAGTCACAAAATCTGCTCAGATATGACAACAAACTGAGTAACTGTCAGAGCAACCACAAAGGGTTAATTGCACCCCACACTGTGCTGCCAAGCAAACAGCGTCTTGCTGCTCCTGTGCTGTTTACACATGTTTGAATTAGGTTACATGAAATCACTTGTTGCAAAATTAGCCCCTCTCTATGCACATGAGCCTCATGGCAAAATGGTAAGTGGACTTATATTGTGCTTTTCTAGTCAGCTGACCACTCAAAGCACTTTCCATACTACATGTCACACACACTCAGTCACACACTGGTGGCCAATGCGACCTTACATGGTGCCACCTGCTGCTTATTAACCATTCACACACTGATGAAACAGCCGTCTGGCCATTTGAGGTTCAGCATCTTGTCCAAGGATACTTTGACATGTGGACTGAAGGAGCCTTGGATCGAATCATCAGTCTTCTGATTAGTGGACGACTCGCTCTACCTCTGAGCCACAGCCGCCCCAGTCCATATAAAAAAAGATATGGCGCGAACAGTTACACACAACTAAAATGGAGTCTTCAGAGAGTTGGTGGTAACTGAAGGGGTGTCACACCCAGACTGTTTGAAGTTTTTTGTTTAGTGCCTGTTTAGTGTCTTTAGTGCACCGTGTCGGTCAGGACTGTAGCTCGCCATCTGAAAATGTGAGTTTTCTTTCCTCCCTGCCGTCGTTCTGCCTGCTGTGTTGTCGGCACAAAGGAGACATGTAGCCTGATTAATGAAAGGGTGCTCGACACTTTGGATAAATGCTGCTTGACAGAAATTAAAGAGTTGTGATATTTTTCAGATCTCCATGGTAACCAGATGCTATCCTGCAACAGGTTTGTTTAGTGACATCATATCTTCCAAAGCAGGACATTATAGATCCTTCTGACAGCTGTTTGTTTTCTATCTGCATTTGTGCTTCTTTGAAGAGACTTATTGAGAAAATAACAGGATTGCAAGAAAATGAGACGCTCAGTGCGTCCAGTGAACCAAACCAGGGCGCTACAGGACGTTTTGGTCCAGGACATGCACGAGGAGATCAGTATCTCAGACGGCTGTTAACTGGTTTGATGTTTTGCTCACACAGATCTGGCCCTTTCAGGCTCATGCTGAGACACACAAAACTAGTGTGCAACAAAATATGACAGTGTCTGAATGTTGGCTAAATTCTCCAGGTGGGCGACATGAAAGGCACTTCTGGAAACTTAAGACGTGACTATGGAGAAAGTTTGCTCTCCGAACAGGAGCTCCAGCATCGTTTAGAGAAGATTACTGCCATTACATGTTAATTACTCCTGACACACAGCATCTCAGGACGCGTGGAAATAATTGCCAGTTTAAAAGAAACACCTGATGCCTGCTGCTCCAATACTGATTATAGATCTGCTGCAGCGTCAGGGCGCCACACAAGGTGACAAATAACACTAATTAATGTCTTTTGTAGCTGAAAGAACAGAACAGACATGAGGGAGACACAGAAATAGACGTTTGTGCGGTAAATAAAATCCTGATTTGTTAGTGACACCTTAGCTCCACCTGGTATTAACATGTGATCTGTATCTGATGATACAATCTGATCCACGGGTCATTTACACCTGCAGTAATGTGTGACTGATCCAGGTACAGATCACATGTTAACACCAGGTGGAAACTGTCAGTGTGACTTCTTCTTCTTCAGGCTGATATCAGACAACTGACTCTTTCAACCTAAAATACAGCTTAAATAGAAAATAAGGGAAGTAGAGAAGAAGAATTGTTTTGCTTATTAAGATAAAGTTTTTCATGATTCCACAAATAATATTTTTTATTCAATGAATAAACATGAATAACATCAGAGCTGCTGTTTCTGTTAGTTGTTCTGCAGAATCATAATCATGCATTCATATTATAGAGAAGCTGTTTGCATAACAGCAGGCTGCTGTGTTCACTGTCCCACAGGAGGACGCAGAATTAGCAGGATGGAAATCAGTCACATACACTAACGCTCGTGTGTCGACCTTCAGTTCATTTAATTAAGCTGTAGCCCGGCCAAAAATAAATCAGCACAGGATACAGAGAGGTTTTTAAATAAGACTAGAAAAAATAAAAATAAAACCTGAAACAAAACAATGAAACAGCGCGGGAAGTTTCCAGCTGTGAGCACAGTTCAACAAAATCTGTAACAGTCGCCCTCACTGACATCCAGTCGGTTTAAAATGTCTCCTCGTAGCTGCGTTTACATGCACAAAATATTATAGTTTTGTTCTGTAAAAGACGATATTCCTACTGAGCTGTTTCATGACTAATATTTTGTGTCCATAAAGCCAAATGTTTTCTGGTTAACGTACCCCAACATGTCATTTATCACATCAAAATATGTAGGTGGAACGAAGTGGAATTTGCAAGTCCTATCGGTGGCTGTCAGTTTTTGGACAGCATGAACACAACCGCCCTCTGTCATTTCTTCGACCACCTTCTTGGAAGGGTCAGCGCTGTGATATTTCAACATCCATATGAGTGACAGCTGCGTTAGGGGCCGTGCACATGCCGCATTTTTTGCTGCGAATTGCTGCAGTCATTGTTTTCAGTGTAGATGTGATACAGACGCGCTCAAATGCCAGAGCAGTGCTTTCGTGGACTGTTAAAGACGCAGCATGTGTACGCCCCCTTAGAGACTCTGCAGCTCTGATTGGTTGTTTTTGTTCATGTGTGGTAACACCATGACAGATTTTTTCTGTCTCATTTAGTGCTGCGTGAATATTGTGACAGTGTCAGTAATGTTACCAACTACAGCTTTAATTCATCAATAACTGTCTTACATTCATCCGTTATCTGTGACCATCATCCTATTCAGGGTTCACCATGGACAGGTCGCCAGACTTTTACACGTAAGCCCCTTTCACATTACCGTTATGCCGCCTCGCTCTGCTGCATATGAGGTACGATTGCGGAATGGGGGGACAGAGTGGTCTCATCTTTAAGCCGCTATAGGAGGTGGTAAGAGCGCCGAAATGGTGTCTGTATAAACAGGACAGCTGGTAGGGTAGGACAGGTGTGACGTTTTGACGACGTGTTATGTGTTTGACCCACCAAGAGAGATTTAAAAAGTAGCCGATAGCAGTTAGCAGCTAACTCAATGAAGAAGAACAGTGGTGGTAAATGTCTGCAAATGGTGAAAGCAGTGAGGCCCAGGAGCTCCTTGCCCTCCGAGCGCAGGACGAAGATCAAAATACTTCTTCTGGGTCTCTCTATGTGCTGTATGCAACATTCTTTGGGGTGTCCCTGATGAATGTCCTTGTTTTGGTTTTTATGTAAATTGCGGTATTTTTCCACCCAGCTTCAAAGGACGTGGATAAAAAGAGTGTAACAGACTTGGTGGGTGGTGAGAGTCTGTCTGCAGCCCTGCTGGAGCTCAATACGAACACATGTGGATTCTTAAAGGACACAATGGAGTGTTAAAATGTGTTTGTCTTGTTGTGTTATTGGGAGCCAGAATAGAAGGAGTCATGGCTCAAAACCAGCCGCCACTGCCCGTCAACAAAAACAAAGACAACTATGGTTAAATGTGATAAGACCAAAGGACTGGACGGAGGCCATCATCAAAAATGCTCACATGTGCAGCGCACACTTCATATCAGGTTAGGGAAAAAGTATTTCCTGTTGTAGGGATGAATAAGGTTATGTGTATTAAGGGTTATCATGTCCACCTCATCAGAAACTGGGGAGGGATTAAGAGGAAGATTGGATTTCTCTGCAACGCTAACTTTTTAGCACATTAGCTAACGTTAGCTTCCATAGCAAAACAAACAAGTGTGGTCCTCCTTTGTAAGATTGGCTTCCTGTGACATCATCCATCCACTGAGTGAGAGCATACGGGTCGGCCAGTCTGGTCCCGTTGGTCAGTGATCACTAATGTCTGTGGAGAATTGTTTTGCCTCCAGCTAAGCCCCGCCCACCAAAAAACATCCTTCTGTTTACTAACATTGTTGGTTTGTGTCTCTGCAGGAAACTGGCTGAGGAGAAATACAAGGAGGTTCACACTCGCAGGAGAGAACTGAGGAGCCGCCATTTTGAAAAAGTCAGCCTGGATGTTCTGAACGTAAGAAAATATAAATTCACTGACTTTAAGCACAGTTACACATTTATACAGAAGAGGAGGACGTATGCAGATTCTTTATTGATGTTAAAATACTAATCTCACACTGTGAAAACACTCCACTACAACTTGATAGTACAGTAAAATGCAAAATGTAAGTAATAGTTTTTGGATTAATATTAGCCTACTGATGCAGTGCAGTAAAAAGTACAATATTTACTAGATGTAGTGGAGGAGAAAGATACAGTTGCATTAGATGAAAATACTCTCGTAAACTACATAACAGTACAGTAAATGCACTAAATTGCCTCCCACCCCTGTGTTTGTGTCATATTGTCGACCTGCAGACCACAGGCTGCTTCTCTTCATGGATTTCTGTTGAATTAATCCTCTGGCAGGTTAATTAGTCCTGAACAGCTGAAACGTCTCTGAATGTTTCCAGTTCTCACTCTCTCCTCTCTCTGAGTCTGTGGACGTTTGAAGTGAGCTGAACTCCGCTGGGTTTCACTTAAAACGAGTCAATTAGCTCTTTTCCTCCAAACAACAGGAGAGCAGAGAGGATGGAGCCTGTCACGGTCAGCCAATCAGCATCCAGGACCACCAGTCACCAGGAGGGTCGCAGCCAATCATGGAGCAGGATGACAGCGAGACGTCAGAGTCAGAGCTGCACGGTGAGAAAAACATCATCACATTCAGTGTCATAGTTTATTTTTACTACATGGTAATGGATACAGTTAAAAATGAAAAAGGAAATGTTTATCTTCTCTTACACTTCTGATAAAATACCCTGTTTCCAAAAGTAATTTTCTGCTCTGAAAACTTTCTCATTCATTAAAAAAAAGCCCTTATTTCCTCTAAAATGTCCTCACTTTGAAAAAAAATTACTTTCCAAATGTTAATCATTTTCACAGAACTGTTAACTTCATCCAAAAACATCTTAACTTTGTAAAAAAAAAATTGTCTTCCAATTAAATCGTCCTCGCTCATCACATGTTGTCACTCTACAGAAATGTCACTTCACTTTCTACAAATGTCACAATGGTCTAAACTTGTCCTCATTAAGGAAAAGGTCCTGACAATCCTTTGATGTCCTCACGTCCCTCAAAATGTTCTCACCTTTTAAAGTTGTCCTCACTTTGCAACTCTGACGCTCTCCTTTATTTCAATCAGGAGAGACCAGGTGAATGAAATAAAGATGATTGTTTAATACAGAGTGGAGGTGAACAGATCAACAGATCATATGATAAAGATGAATTTACAGAAAGACTTTGGCGCCTTGATTTGCAATCGAGCAAGATCAATCTAGACACTGGTGCTCATGGTGGCTGATGACTCTGAGACTGAAGGCTGATGAATCTGCGAGGACACTGCGATGATGGGGAGGTGGAGATTGAGCACAACTGCTGCATGAAAGAGAACCATATTCAAAACAAGAAGCAGTAAGATGATAGGCTAACAGAGAGGATGCATCGCTGTTCTGTTGGTTAACTGTGATCAGCTGACAGAACAGCTGATGTCACAATTGACAGCCCCGATAATGACAGAAAGAAATGAGTGAGGATGCGCGCAACGAGTGAGTGGTAGATGTTATGAAAAATAGTTTAAAGACATAAGCATCGTCTTCCCGACTGAACTTTCATTAGAGCATCATCACGAGTCTCATTAACATCACATCCTCGTGATCAGAACTTCCTGATGATTAAATGAAACCTGTCCTGATCCTGAAGCTCAGATCAGCTCCTGACACTGGACAGTGAATTACACTTAATGTGTCTCATCACACTGATTTAATAAATCCTGATAACTTTCATCAGTTTACAGATATGATTTGTCTTCGGATTAATATGAACTGTCATGTTCTCTGTCGCTGAATCAACTTAGCAGCCAGCAAGCCGAAACTAATGAAATTTACAGCTGATCTGAGGCAGAAAAACTCTCCGGAGATTTCCGAGTTCAAGCAACTCAATCAGGTGTTTATCTAGAAAATCCTCCAGGAGCTGTCGGGTATTAAAAAGGCCATAAGCCATGAATCTCATTAAAACTGGTGTCACTTGTGACGGATGGCTCAGACTCTTAGACTCCAGACTTCATTGTTCCTTTATTGTCCCCTTTTTCCTTCCACAGCAGCGTACACATCAGACAACAGCACACGGTAGCAACATACAGTGACGGACACACTGCACATTATCGGCTGAATTACATGTGGCAAGGACACGAAACGTCACATAGGTGGAGTAGAGTTGTGTTTTTATGTGCTACACACACTCCATCTGTGCAGTGTGTGGTTGCTGCCACCTTCACTGTGTGTGTATTAGGTTTTGGCAAATGATAATGGAGTTGGTGACGCAGGGTTTGGAAGCGTATGGTCCAGGGGGAAGGCAACCTGAGTCTCTGGAGCCACATTTGGCTCTTTGACAAAACAATTATATGGAAATGAAAAAGTCTTTTTAATTTTTTTTAGTCTTCATTTTTCATTGTTGTTTGCCTGAAGTGCTTCTTACATTCCCTAATTGTAAAATATTTACAAGTTATGGAGAGACTGATGTCATTTTTTACAAAAAATATCCAAACTGGAAATGAATCAGCTCGCAGGAACCGACTGTGAAAAGAGTTGGTCTGCCCATCACTGGGCCGTTAGAGGTGGTGACTGACGAGTGAGTCATGTCCTGTCCTGTTGACGTTGTACTGTGTGCAGTGGACCAGTTCTTTAGCGCTGTAATGTTGGGTGTGAGGAGGCCAGTTATGATTGTGCTGGGATTTTGATGTGATTAGTAAGAGATAACATGTTAAAGAAGCAGGTGGAACAGCAGGAGGACGGGCTGAATGATGCTCTGCTACAGCAATAGGAGGAGATTGGGGTCAACATAGAGTCCAGTAAGGTCAGCGATGCCTGTTAGTCTTTGGTGGCTCCTTTGATGGATGTTATTAGTGTGCTGGTTGAAGCTGAGTCTATTGTCCATTGTCTCTCTGAGATATTTTTAACTGTCAGCCATTAAACTCTTTGGTTATTGATTGGATTGGGATGCTGAGCAGTGGCGGCTGCTGGTCTTTCAAGGAGGGGAAGCTCATTTTCGGCCTACATCATAAAATGTGTCTGTTTATTTATACGTAAATTCTACCCTGTGGGGCTGCTGCACGAGGCTAGTGTGACCGCCTGTGAGCGCTTTGGGACGGTGGAGGGGCTCACAGCAGCACCCGCTGCTCGTTGGGGACAGTAACTGCAGAGTGACAGAAGTCAGAGTCTCCATTAACACCAGAAAAAGATGCTAGATTTGTCGCTAATCGTTTTTAACAAAGAAAAAGTCACTAAGAGGATTGGAAAAGTCTCCAGATCAACTCGGAACAATGGAATGAAACTTGAAAAATGCTCCGGTGGTGGTTTATATTTCAAGATCGCTGATTCGCTCATTTCGCTGTCAATCAAAAAGGGATTCAGCCTCAGACAGATCATCCAATCATCATGCCGAAGCCCAGCGTCCAGTCCAGCCGAGGCCAGCCCACTGCCCCACAGACCCCCAGAGACGCTGAGCGTCCGATGGGCGGGACAAAACTGAGCATTTATCCAATGACTGTGTAGTTTCGCTGCAGTGGAACAACCCACTCTATGCTTCCCCACTGAAATCTTTGGACGCTGAACTTCCACTGTTTAATGCACTGTGACGCTACGGGAATGAATGAGAAGAAAGTCGCGTCAGTGACCTGTGATAAGTAGCTGATTCTGAACAAAAGTTGAATGCGTTCTGGCGCATATTTAGTCATTGAAATGTAAAGACAACAGTACATATTTGATCACTTATTTTTTGACATTTTAGGGGAAGCTGAGCTTCCCTTGCAGTCTTAGAGCAATTGCCACTGATGCTGAGGTGACGGAGGACCAGTTATTATTTCATGTTTGCCATGTTGTGATGGTCCATAGCAGAGGGGTTATATGTGAGTTTGACAATAATGGCTGTGTTGTCTGAGTGTTTGAGGTGAAGTGATAGGTGATAGAGCAGAGGTAGGTAACCTGTGGCTCTGGAGCCCCTCTCCAGTGGCTCCCTGTGGCTTTGGCAAAAAATTATATCGAGATTAATAATAGCTAACTTTTAATTTTTTTCCACTGTTGTGGGCCTAAAGTGATTCTTATATTCTGCATTGTAAAATGTAGCTTATTCACAGAATTTAAAAAAAAAGTTTTTACACAACTGAATGTGCGTCATATGGCCTATCACCTTTCCTTTAAAATTTGCCAACCTCAATAGCCATGGCTTGTCTCAGATCTTCCTAGCTAAGCTAGCTATGGATTCTAGATCAAAATAAGTCTTGAAGGACAGTAGAAAATTTAACAGTGCGTGGACATATTTGTTTGCTTTTACTGCCAACCCTGCAAAGTTTAAGTACCAAACAGTCAAATGGCCCACATAGGGTTGCCACCTTGGATTTGTGAAAAAAAGGGACACTCGACCAAATGTTTGAGGCGGAGGGCTCGGCCATTATTACTAGTTCAGACTGACCAATGAACATGAAATTCGGACATAGGAGACCAGATTTGCCATCATTCCATGTCCTTCTATGTGCCTGTATTTTATATTAATTTTTATTTCAATGAAAAAAAACAAATCTGTGTGACTAAATTCTTACATTTTTACATGTATCTCAGCATAGCAAGTTGGAAGTTGACATATTCTGCCATATATGAAGAGGGGAGACTCTCTGGAATCTGGCAATATAAGAACCATGATGCTGGGACATTCTGTCACTTCACAGCTGTCCAAAACATGTGGTTTGTGCCAGACGGACATGATTGCCAGTATTTTTTCATTATTGCTAGAAATTCCATTGACTCATTCACAAGTCAAAAATGTGTTTTATCTGAAAGAAACATGCAATATTTACATCTAAGATCATAGAAAAATAGTCACCCAAGTGCAATGATGTCCTCCAAGATAATATTTGCCACTTTGTTTGCAGTTAAAAAGGGGGGGGGGGGGCACGTGTCCCCCTCAATGTGTATGGTGTCTACGGCCCTGTCAGGCATGCATGATTAGGCTGCAGTTGTCTGGGTGTGCAAAGGTGAAGTGGCTGGTCTTGTCATACAAAGTTTGATGGAGTGTCAACTGGACAATATGGAGATATTTGCATCTTGAAAGCTGGACTACAAATGTGGATAGACAGGGAGAAACACACGCAAGCCTAAGACGTGGTAAGATACGATATTCCTCACTATATGAAGTGACTGATAACAAGATCTGTATAATGGATTGTAAAGAAATTCGACAGGATTTTATTTGGTAGACAATTGATCTGTATTTATAGCGTGATGGGATGACAGCACAATGATGTGTGTGGTATCATTGGAAAGCTCTGCTCCTGCGCTTTCATGTGATATGCGTGGCATTTCTGTGCGATGCTGCATTCGCGAGTAATCCATCCAAGAGTAATGTGTGTGCAAAGCTGTATGAAAGCTCTGTTATACATCATTTTAGTGTAACTTTATCATTTTTTTTCGCTGTGAAAACATTCGGAAAGCTACGATTCCGCTGTTTCACGTGATATGCGTGGCTTCTCGCTATGACGCACGGTTGCGGAGAAAAACCATAGAGAAGAACAGGTGTGAATTTGGACGCACTATGCGTCGTTCTGGATGGACTCCTTGGCCTGCTGCTGCTGCATTTTCCCCAAAAAACGGGAC